AATTATGTGTTCTGTATGACAGCCCAAATCTTTTTTATTCCATCACGATATATCAAACAAAGTACAGTAATCACTTTTACTCGTTCTTCATCTAGAAAAATCTGTGTCAGATGCAGCCAGCAAACTGAAAGCACATTTTGAGATTATCTGTGAAATCTTGGGACAGGCATGCTGGGAGCTGTAAATAAACGACTGGCAGTGGTATCATGGTGGGGCCGGTGGGACAGAAACAAACGCACCATCTGCCTCTATTCACTGAGTTTAAAAGGCTACATCCATACCTATGAAGACAACGTAGATGAGGGTCTCTGCAGCATCAGATACGAGTGGACTCTTGCTTGGTGGCTGATGCTTTCTTTCGGGAGCATGAATCTTGGGTGGAGGGAGGAACAGTCTCAAACAGGTTAATTTTTTAAATTAACTTATTCAGACAGTGTCAGTCATATGATTTGTAGACCACGTCCTTCAAGGGTCTGCTTATTTCCTTTTGAAATACTTAAAATATAAATATTCTAATTCAATCCAGCAGAATAAGTCCTTGTGCTGTAACTATGGATAAATGACTGGATCCAAAAGGCGTTACCCCTTCATTAAAGAACAGTCTGGTTTTTGTCTTAACTTTTTCTTTTAGTTTCTTCCCATCCCCCCCCTTTTTTGGTTTTAGATGTTGTTCATAATAATAAATGTTACTACTAATGAGGAAAACTACACACGAGGACTTGTGTCAAACATTTTCTATCTGCCTTCCTCAGACCACCCAATTTTACAGAATAAGGCCGAGGCTCAGGCAGGTAAGGTGCTTTGTGGAGTCCAGGCATTTCTGATTCCACGGAGCTTGCTTTTTCTTTCTTTTTTTTTTTTCAACTTCCAGTATCATTTATTTTTCCTAGAATCTGTATACATTTAACTGTAGCAAGACAGTGTTCAGTATGACGTAAGCCTTATTTTAGGTTCTTTGAATGACCTCAGTATTTGTAAATGTGAGAATTCACATTTTGGTCAAAACTGTAACTTCCCCTAGGACTACTTAGGTAAGAGACTTAGAGTTGCCCATAACCTATTTCTGGTGTTACATCTGCTGAAATTTTAGAGTTTGATATTTTGGGGTTAACGTTTTTTTCTAGGTGGGACCTTGGGCTTTTTTTCTTTCTTTTTTTAAAATAACAATTTCATTGAGATAGAAGTCACATGCCATATAATTCATTCATTTGAAATGTATTAATTCAATGATTTTTAGTATACCCAGAGTTGTGCAACCATGACCACACTCAATTTTGGGGCATTTTCATTACCCCAAAGAAACAAACCCTGTACCCTTTAGCTATCACACCCATCTCACCTTTCCATCCCCCATTCCTAGGCAACCACTAATCTACTTTCACTGTCTCTATAGATTTGCCTAGTCTGGAAATTTTATATAAATGAATTATAGTTTTAAAGAGCTGCTACCAGTCCTAGCCACAGCAGTCATACAAGAAAAAGAAAAAAAAGCACCTGAATTGGAAAGAAGTAAAACTGTCATTATTTGCAGAAAGCATGATATTATGTATAGAGAACCCTAAAGATAACACCCCAAAATACTATTAAAACTAATAAATGAATTCAGTAAAGTAGCAAAATACAAAATTAATATATAGAAATCGGTTGCATTTTTATGCACCAATAACAAACTATCAGAAAGAGAAATTAAGAAAACAATCCCATTTACAATTGCATCAAAAAGATTTAAATACCTAGGAATAAACTTAACCAATGAGGTAAAAGACCTGTATTCAGAAAACTATAAGACACTGAAGAAAGAAACTGAAGAAGATACAAATCAATGGCAGCATATACCATACTCATGGAGAAGAAGAATTAACATTGTGAAAATGTCCATACTACTCAAAGCAATCTGCAGATTCAGTACAATCCCTATCAAAATACCAATGGCATTTTTCACAAAAGTAGAACAAAATAATTCTAAAAAAAAATTTATATAGAACCACAAAAGACCCCAAATATTCAAAGCAATCTTGAGAACAAAGAACAAAGTTGGGAGGTATCATGCCACCTGATAATCACACTATATACTACAAGCCTATAGTAATCAAAACAGCATGGTACTGGCATAAAAACAGACAGACACATAGATCGATGAAACAGAAAAGAGAGTACAGAAATAAACCTACGCCTATGTGGTCATTTAATCTACGACAAAGGAGGCAACAATATAGAGTGGGGTAAATACAGTCTCTTCAATAAATGGTGCTGGAAAAACCGGACAGACACATGCAAAACAAAAATAAGACTCGACCACTTTCTTACACTACATACAAAAATGAACTCAAAATAGGTTAACGACTTAAATGTTAGACATGAAATCATAAAACTACTAGAAGAAAACAGAGGCAGTAAACTCTTTGTCATCTCTTAGCAATATTTTTTTGGTATATCTCCTCCAGCAAGGGAATCAAAAGAAAAAAAACAAACAAATGGGACTACATCAAAGTAAAAAGTTTTTGCACAGTGAAGGAAACCATCAACAAAAAGAAAAGACAGCCCACTGAATGGGAGAAGATATTAGCCAATGATACATCTGATAAGGGGTTAATATCCAAAGTATATAAGGCGCTCATACAACTTAACACCAAAAAAACAATCAGATTAAAAAATGGGCAGAGGACCTAAACAGACATTTCTCTAAAGAGGACATACAATAGATATGTAAAAATAAGCTCAATATCACTAATCATCAGGGAAATGCAAATTAAAACCACAATGAGATACCACCTCACACCTGTCAGAATGGCTAGCATCAATAAATCAACAAACAAGTGTTGGCGAGGATGTGGAGAAAAGGGAAACCACATTGGTTGGATTATAAATTGGTTCAGCCACTATGGAAAAATTAAAAAAAAAAAACTACCTTATGACCCAGCAATTCCAATTCTGGGCATTTATCTGAAGAAAGCCAAAACACTAATTCGAGAAGATTATGTGCAGCCCTATGTTCATTGCAGCATTATTTACAATAGCAAAGATACAGAAGCAACCTAAGTGTCCATCAGTAGACGAATAGATAACCTAGAGGGTATTATACTAAGTGAAATAAGTCAGACAGAGAAAGACAGATACCATATGATTTCATTTATATGTAGACTCTAAAAAACAAAATAAACAAACAAATAAAACAGAAACAAATTCAGATACAGAGAACAAATTGATGGCTGACAGATGGGAGGGGGTTGGGAGGATGGGTGTAAAAAGGGAAGGGACTAAGAAGTACAAATTGCCAGTTATAAAAAATAGTCACAGGAATGTAAAGTACAGCATAGGGAATATAGTCAATAATATTATAATAACTATGTACAGTGTCAGGTGGGTACACTAGACTTACTGGGGTGATCACTTTGTAAGGCATATAAATGTCTAATCACTGTGTTGTACGCCTGAAACTAATATTGTTTGTCAACTATAAATTAAAACTAAATTTTAGAAAACATGGAAAAAAAATTTTAAAAATGAAGAGCTGCTACCCAGCTCAGTGCCCTGCATGTTACAAACACTGACTAAACTGGGAGGGCAGTACTGACAGTACAAATAAAGTGTGACCTTTGGAACCACACTGATGGGGTTAGGGTCCTGGTGCCAACACCTACCAGCTGTGACCTTGGGCAAGTAACTTAACCTTGGAGGAACTGACTTCCTTTCTTGGTAAGATAGGGATCATTCATAGGAGTTAGGTTGAGAGATGACAAAATGTAAAGCCCGAAGTGCTTGTCAGGTTTTAGCCATTATTATTCATGAAACTGGCTTTAACTTTGGTGAAACGAAAAAAACACTCAGTTATTGATTCGCACTGCTCTTATTGTGCAATTAGATATGAACATTTGATCTAAAAGTTCTAGAAAACTAAGTTTTGTGCGGAAACGAAGAACCGTATAAACTCATGCCTTTTTCCTCTCATCTTCATTCTGCTAGAGATCATGAGAATTCATAGATCCTATTACCCTTGACTCCTGGGCTCAGGGAGCAATGCCCTGATGACCTCGGCCTGAGCTTTTGAGATTATCAGGCCACAGCATCTGGAACTTTCCCTCCACAGTGCTGATCTTACACAGAACTAGGAAACCTCATCATCAACTGCCCGCAGTCAGGCTGGCCCTACTCATGTGGAGTTTTCACTGGGTTTATTTTGTCTGTGGGGCATCTGCTTGTTTCATATGGATATTACAGGGCTGGGTATTTATCTGTTGATAGTCATTTCTTACTAAGTATAAACTATTATTAAACTATTGACAAAGGATAGTATGTCCCCCAATTTCCTTGAAGATGGTTTAAATTTAGTGGGCACACAGGCCAATGGGGAAAATGGGTGGTCTGCCACCTAACTACTGGACTTGCTCTGGAGTTAGGGTGCTTCATGGAACTCAAATACTAGTTATCTGAACAGTAAATGCGTAAGAACCAAGACAGGTGTGAAGAAACACTCACTCTACCAGTTTTCACAGCATGTTACAAGCTCAGGTCTTATTCCAGGAAAGTTGTTCTTGGATTCTGAGCCAGGGTTTCCCATCGGGCTTAGCGTGTGACCCTGGGACAATATTTCACTGGCAGAGTCCCCTCCACTGTCCACCTGCCTACGGCTGCACCCAGTTTCCAAGGGAACAGAGGACACAGGACTTCTAAAGCATGTTTTAAGATTGCTGCTGTTCCAGGCAAACAAACAAACAAACAAACAAACACAGGGCCCTTTGAAGGGAGGCCAGTGCCAGCTGAAAACAGTCCCCTTTATCCTCAATGACCCAAATTAGTCCTCTGGAGTCAAAGGTACCTCTCTATCAGAAAGTTATTCATCCCCAAACTGCCATATCTTCACACCAAAAGAGAAAGAGGAGTCCTTTTCTAAATCCTCCTCTGTTTTCAAACCTCCTCAACAGAACTTATCACCAATATATTCTTCATGACGGTAAATCTAACGTGAATCACTTAGATCTAAAAGAGGAATATAAATTCACTTAACAGTATCACAGTTGTAGTTTATTACACAATAGTCAGAGGCAACTTATCTGCAAACAGCAGTAACTGCTGTAAGAGCTGTATTCTGATTAAACAAATATGCTCGTATTTTCTTTTGAAGGTTAGTCCTTAAGAAATGTTACATTTTACAGTACAAAAAGGAAAAATATTTATTTACAAAGAGCAAAGGCAGTGAGACTGTTTATCTAGCTAAATATATAATACAAAAAAATATAAAAATAGCTTTTGTAGCCATATAAAACTATCTTCTGGAAACACCAAATAAATAAATACACTCCATAACTATCTACTGACCTGCTACATTGTAGCTATTAATATGAAATAATTTACATTCAATATCAGAGTCCTGGATTTACAATGCTGCATTTTTTCACTAATTTCTTCATCCGCTTAATTTTCTTCCTTAAAACTTGATGATCTCGTTTTGAAATATACCGATAATATCTGCAACCTAAAAAAACAAAGCAAAATAAAGAAAAAGTTTTAATACTTACCAAATTCTTCAAGTGTATTTCTACATTTTAAAAATTTTGCTCCAACTCTAGCATACTACTGATTATGGAAACAGGCTGATTTGTATCATCTATAACAGTATGTCCTAAGCTCATTTTCAGAGCCATAACCGAGATGTATTGCTTCCTACATACAAAGATGTTTCTGATCCATCCTCATTGAAACATATACTTTAGCTCATTTTCGATCCTGCCTCCCAAGCCCTAGTTAAGGTGATATGCATATTATATACATTCATATATTAAATGAGCCTTCTCCATAAGCAAAGTACTGTAGTTTCCCTCTCAATATTAGCTTTTACAACAGCCAAAGAGGCATCTGTAACAATAAGGAAGTTCTCCGTAAAAAACCCTGATGTAAAGAATTAGAAT